CCCCCCCCCCCCCCCCCTCGGCCCTACCCGCGGGGTGCCGGTGTCGGCGGCGTGGCCGGGCGAGCCGCCCGCTGCTTCCCGGAGCCTCGCTGGAAACGCCGTGCGTTATCGCCTCTGCGATCTGCCGGGCTTCCGAGTGATGCTTATCTTCAGGAGTGACTGCGTGCGTGTGCCTGACACGGAGAGGGTGAAGAGAGGGAAGTTAGTCACCCTTTGGAGAAATTCGGGTGCATGTTTTCTGTCTGCGTCGCAGCGGCTTGCGCTCTTTTGTAGGGTTAATAATCTAGGAAATGAGGAGTCATCGCAGCACATGTTCGCTTAAAGTTTGGAAGACGTTGCATGCACTTTTTTTTTTTTTGATCCGCTTTCTGTTATTTGTGAGTTTTAAAGCCTCGACTCTGTAAAGTTTTTTGTAGCTTGAAATAATAGGTTTTGGAAAAGCAAACCACAAGCGCTTTAGATCCCTCCTGTCAAGAGAAATAAAGGGTTGCTGTATTTTAAATGCTTGTTAGCTTCAAAGTTTAAAGGCTGTCTGCCTAAGTAATTCAACAGTTTTAAAAAGTGCAATTCCTTCCATAAATGAAAGGCCAAAGAGATTAATTGCTTTAGAAAAGGGGGGAGGGGGAGGGAGAGGGAAGAGAAGACTGCTAATCAAAACCAAACTGTTTCCTTAGAAAAGACTTTATACAACTATTTAAAATATGTGCTAGTCTAGGAAAAATAGTTAAATGGAAAGTCAGGGTATCTTGATACCACAGGAAAGGACAGCTTGCCAAGAATATCTCCAGTGTTCCTTCAATCCCAAAGTATCCTGTATTGCTTTGATTGTTGTATTTACTTTGTGCAGCCCGTCTTCTGCCCTCAGCTCTGCCTGAAGCAGCAGAGCACCTGGTATAGATTGTGGTTAGCAGAACAGGGAAAATGTTCCTTTCTCTCTTACTTTTTTTCTTTTCCCTTTTCCTGGCAGAGCACAATTCAGGACTGGGGTGAGGAGGTAGAAGAGGGAGCTGTTTACCATGTCACCCTGAAAAGAGTGCAGATTCAGCAGGCTGCCAACAAAGGAGCAAGATGGCTAGGGGTAAGTAAAGCTGGCGTGGTGGCATTTTGGAAGGCTGCTCATGGACTTTGGAGCCTGCTGAATTCCACACAAATTGTTACGATATTAACTTCTAGCACTGACTGCTCTCACTATTTAAAAAACCCCAAACACTCAAGTTGTCTGCCTGGGACATCTGAAATGCTCTCTCCTTGTGTTGACTCCTTCTCTTTTCTTGACATGTAAAAAAGCTTTGGCCTGTTGTGGCCATGTGTCAGACGATACTTAGTGCAGAAACAAGAATCTCAGCTTATGGCCTGAGAAGTTGAACATTTAACAGTTATTTCAGACTGGGCTATGGCTTATTTCTGCTGTTAGGAACCTATCTCAGATCTCCCAAATAAATAGTCATGGTATTTTGACTAACGAAGGTCTCTGAAAAGTTAGCAGAAACTTCCTCGAAACTTAAGGGAATACAGGTTTGGGTCTTATTTTCGTATTGCTTTCTCAGCTGGATGAGAAACTAATTGCATTTCTGCAAGAATTACAGCTCTGTATTGTTTTTCAAAGGTGTATTTCAAAGCATGAAGGCTTTAGCAGTAAGTAAAATGGGCTTAAATGCATACGCACTCAATTTGGCATGCTGCTGAGTGCCTTCACCTCTGTCAGGCCAAGTCCCCAGCTGATATAAAATGTCCTCACTTCATTGGAATCAGTGCAGCTGTGGCAGTTTGAGCCAGATCTTCAGGAGGTAGCTATAACTTTCCTATTATTTTGTTATGTTTATGTATTTTCTTTGGGATCAAAGGCAATAATATAAGAACTTGGTTTGATGTAGTATCAAGGTTGGTATTTTAAAGGCTCTTAAAACTGCCCTGAGATTTATATAAAATCATTTGCTTGTGAAGTTCCGTGACATAAAGCAATACAGCAGTGCTGAAACTGCAGTCAAGAAAAATAAGCAAGTTCTGTCTGCATGCAGATAGTGCTTAGAATCTTCCCTTCCCATGTTTCCAAGAAGTACATAGAGTTCTAATCAGAACAGATAATTTCAAATCTGCTTCCTTTGAGTGGCAGATTTCCCATCTTTGCATCCTGTTTTCACCAGGAAAAATATTAGAAAGTATTTTTGAGCTCTTGTAAATTTCCCAGCTGTGTAAGAGGTGCAGATCATTTTGAATGTGTCTGTGTCCCATAAACATACTTCAGAAAAGTAGAATTTTCTCCTATTTCAGCTATGTTGTTCCTTGTATGTAGCAGGAGTTTGCCAGGTCTTGGTCATATTCTCAAAGGAAGAGTGCATATGTGTTCCTGAGATCATCACCACAGCTGATGGTGCCAATCTTAATAGGAGGACAAGGGACTGCAAGCTCATGGAAGTGACTTTTAGCTTTCTGTGGTTAGTGTTAGTTTTTTCAGGTCAGAATTGAGCCCTGTTTGTGAGGAAGGAGGCAGTGTGTCAGAAGTCTGCACCTGTTCTGGGCATAAATTGGTGACTTCAGCTTACAGGCTGGTGTCTTTCATGAGCAAAAAATCTTATGCATATTACTTAAAAATATTTTTAAATGTATGGGCTGTTTGTTTCCCTTAAGCTTTCGGAACATAAAATATTTTAAGCTCTTTTTGTGATCTTGTTTTATTAATGGCTTTACTGTGGTCCTAAAGTCAATAAATAGCCTCTAACCTAGAACATTATTTATGAATAGCCATCCCTGCCCCCAGCAGTTTTGCCTTGAAAAGCATAATTGTCTCTTTTATAATTGTCATCAGGTGACCTTTTTTTTTTTAATCTGGAGCTTATAGGGTTTTATGATGTTAACTTTTTTTCTATGCTTTGAAATTCATAGCACTAAATTAATAAGCTGATGGATTTATCAACGCTGGTCTTAATTTTTTTTGATGGTGCTATAAGTCAGGCTTAGGTTGGAGACTCAAGGTCAACTGGAGAGTATGGGAACAACCTATTTGTACATCAGCAAGTATTGAGCCTTCATTGTAACAAATATAGTAACTCTGTTACTGATTATCTGCCTGTGTGGGTTTACTTTTTAAAAAGTTACTTCGTCAATGTCAGTTTGTGTCCTGTAGAGGTCTGCTTAGCAGTTTGACCTTCACTGAGGCCCTGAGCTTCTTGCGGTTTATTGGTGCAGGTCAAGTTCCTGTGACTTGAAAAGCCCAAGTCTTAAAACCTCGGCGTTGCATGTGGCTGTTAAATATTGTGTGGTATCAGAGCGGGGGGTTGATTCAGTGGTTCCAGAGTGTTTAGTTCTTAGTGATGCTGCATTTGTAAAGTGATTTGGAGGCTTTTCAGCTGAAAAGCGTTAGATGGTAAATTATTTGATGTGTCTGAGAGAAATGCAGATATAACTGAAAGTTTCATAGAACCTGTGTTGAAAGGAATATAAAAGGTCTTATTTATTCTGAGTGTGTTGGGATTTATTACCAATTCCTTTAATTACCGGGAAGCTTGAAATCTTGCTTAAATACATTCTTGTACAGGTACCAGTAAGTGAATGAACCTAGATCTTTCATGTTTCAGGACATCTAATAACCTTTCCTAAAACTCTCTATCCTAAGAATCCATCCAGGGTTCTTGAATCGTTGGCCTTATTATGACACAATGGTCTGTTTAAAAGCCAATCATAAGATTACAGCTTAAGCACTGTAAACACTTGCCTATTTAAATACAGAAATGTCTGTCTTGTGTTTCAAAATTCTACAATTAATAAAAGAAAAAGACAAACAGGCTGTGACTTACGCAGTCATCAGCAATTCCATAACTTTCAAAAGTGTGAAGCTTTTGTATAAACACCAAATTTCTTAGCTTTAAATTTAATATTAGACATCAAGGATGCCAATAATAGCTACTGTTTTTGTCACTAAATACTTAGTCACTAAATATTTAGTGAAGCTTAAGACTTTAGGCACTACAGTATTATGAAATATTAAAAGCCCTAGTAGTAGCTCAGTATTGTGCTAGATGCTGCACAAAAGCACTGTCCTGACTAAAAAGAATTAACAGATTACAGACAGGCCTCATTTGATATGTACACATATGTTGTCTCGACTGATGATTGGTATCCAAGGCAGTGGTATCAATTTTGCAACAGTCTGATTTTTCTCAAGTTATTTGTAGACATCAAGGCAATGCAGACTCTTAACAAAACTTCAGAAGTCGAATGTAACCTCTGGAGATGTTGAGGGAGAATACCTCCCAAACACAATAGGTTCGACAAGAGAACGCATGAAGGCATTTTTTGAAAATGAGATGGGTTTTGGTGTCTCCAAGATAGACCTTGAGAGGTCTCCAGGTTCTTGAGAGAGATGATGTGGAGATTGGGAACAAGCCATGAAGGCCCGTGGAAACTGAGATACATGGCCTAACTTCTTTGTGAGAGAGAAGGATGGAGATGTAGAGATTTATATAGATGGATGGTACGCTCAAAAGAAGAGATGAGGAGAGTGCTTTCTGCAGCAGGCTTTTGAGTGGACATTCAGCATCATTTTGAAAGTCATTACATCAGGCTAGAGAAAAAGGCATATCGGGAACTGGAATAGAAGGTTTCAGAGTGCAGCAAGGAATTTTAATGATGTGGCTAGAAAGAGAAGGTTGTCTTTTAAAACAGTGACACAGAAAGAACCTGAAAAATGAGATCCAGCTTACCTCTGAGGATGTAAATACAGCCTGTAGGGAGACTGGCACCCTGTGTGTCAGACAGGATGGTGCTATTGTCCATGAAGAAAAGACAACAAAGCAGAAAAGACAGGTGAAAAGTTTAGAGTTCTGTGGGGTTTTTTGATCTTGAACTGACAGCCAGGTACCCATAAAATGAAACAGAGACAAGCTGAATCATACCATAGCCAGAAGCAGGTAAGAACAGTAAAGCAGTGGCTGTAACAGTAGATCAGCTGCTAAACACCTGAATTTCTGTTGCCAGGAGCAGTATGCTGAGGGAGTATAAATGGCATTGGAAAAGGCGAACTCCAGTCAGTGATTTATTGTAAATAGTAAACTGAAGAGTAAACAGTTGAAAGAGAAAGGAAAAAGTAGCAGGCAGAGAAGTGGAGAGATGGGGGGAATGTGTAAGAGGTGAGAGGCTGAAAGAGATTTTGACTAGGAGAGTGATGGGACTATGGGAGGCAACAGGTACAAGAGAAAGCGGTATGAGGTGGGATTGGATCCATTGGATAAATGAAAGGATCAGAGGAGAACCACAGGAAAGAAACTTCTGCACTTGTCAAATGGTAGAAATGAGAATTGTTCAAGGGTTCCTTTGCAAAGAGGAACAAGGGCTGAAAAATTTGAAGGGCCAGGACTGCAGATGTGGAATGAGATTAAATTGAAATACTGAAATTGCTTGACTATGGAGTGGACAAAATCGAAGGAAGAGGGGAAAGAAAAAAGGCCTTTCTAGTGAAGGTAATTGGCCTGGTTGTTGTGTTTGTGCCATATGCCAATGGATGCATACAATAAAGATACACCAGGAAGAGGGGCTAGCAGAATGGGCCTTACAGTGATGGAAAGAGAAAAGAATGAATGGTGTAAGACAATAAGGCAGGAAGAAAATGAATGATCATATAAATAGCAAACAGGGAAGTGAGGAGGTGGTTTAAGGCTACCTGGTTGGATGAATGTTCTTAGCCACTGGCAAGATTTGAACCAAGGCAGTAGATACTATTGCCAGCTGATTCCTTCATCAAATATGACTGATCCAATAAGAGATGATGCTGTGTCAGTGGGGTTTGTCTTAAACTCTGTAGAAAGATAAGTAGAGTAGGTCTGTGAGATGCTTAGCTTTACAGTGGCACACTTGTAAACTGTGGGAAGTATTTGGTGAAGTCAAGAGGAGTAGGAAGTTCAGACAGTTGAATGTGTGAGCTTGGAAGTTTGAGAGTCAAAACTGCAAATGCTACCTTGACTTCTAGTTTGAATAAGGGAAAAAAACCAACACCTTTCAGAGAAGGGTGCAGGCATAATAATCTAAAAAATATGTTGGTTTTTTTGTTGTGGGTTTTTTTTTGTTTGTTTGTTTTTGTTTTTG